CCTACTAAGATATATAACCATCCTTATCTTTATCAAAATCTTTAAATAATTTATATGCTTTTTCAGTTTTGTTAAATAAGGAATTTTCAACCTTCATTAATACTTCTGATAATTCTTTAGATTACTTTGGTAAATACCATGTCATTCCAGCATCCTAATTATAAAATTCTATAAAAGTATTAATTAATTTATACATATTTATTTTTCAATATCTTATTCTTTATTTTCTATAGTCTAAAGTGGTTAATTGATTTTGGATACTTAATCAGGAGGAGCTGGTCCTTTATATCTTAATTATGCTCTATCATAAAATTCTTAATCAGTTTCACTAAATTATATGAATCTAATTTATACTTAAATAATATTCTAATAATTTCATCAGCATTTTATGTTTCATATTAGCTAAATTACAATACACTAAGCATGCTTTCAAGATCAAATTTTTAGTATCTTTCATTTACACTTTCTAAAAATTGTATGATTACATGAGAAAACTCTTTTACATTTACATTATTGCTTTATATTTTGCTTTTAAGAAATTCTTCAAATTTAGTATGTGATGGTATATATCTTTAAATCTTATTCATTAAATTTTTCGTTTTAGTTTTCATTTTCTCCAAGGAATAAGCATCTACTCTTGTAATATCAAATAATGTAATAAGTTAATCTTCTTAATATTTCATACTTTTTAACAATAATTATTTCTTATCAACTGGTTCTTAATTCTTGTTTTAATAAGGATCATCATAAACTTCCTCTTTCAATTAAAATGATTTAAGATGATTCAAGAACTTTTTATAATCAAATGTATCATCTTAATTTTTGAAATTTTCATATAATATTTTAAGATCTTATTCAGATAAAATACTAGGATCTATTTCTAATTTTTTTATAACTCTTTCAAATCTACCAAAACTTATATACCCCTTTTACAATTCATCTTACATTGTGAGTTATTGCCCCAATTATTATAACTTAAATTATAATTGGTAGATTATACTCTGTTTTTTAGAATAAGATTAACTTAATTCTAATGTCTTCTATCTCTAGCTTATAAAGCATCTTTTCTAAGGAAATCTATAGTTTCTTAATTTTTAATTAATGAATCTTTTTCATCTTCAGTTAATGCTGGTAATGCCTTTAAATTAACATTAAGAGCATCCTTATCATTAAAAATGAGATCTAGAAATTCATCTAATCCTAAATCATTTGATCCATCCATATCTGCACTAGCTAATAAGACTCTAGCCTCATCTATATTAATATTTATTCCTAATCTTTATATCATATTGTATAGATTTTTAACACTAACAGCGCCATTAGAATCTTCATCCCATAAATTAAAAATCTTTTAAAAATTCTTTCTATTTGCATATCTTCTTCTTATAGCTCTTCTAATATCTCTAACTTTTTCTAAGTCTACTTTTCCTTCAAGTGTATTTTTATTTTCTAAACCAACTAATTAAGTTTCTTGTATTCCTGTAGTGTTCTCCTCTCTTTTCTATTATGCTAATTTCTCCTTTTATTCATCTAATAGATAATTTAGTATAATAATAATACATTTTGTATCAATAGGACTTTCTTAACTTTACATATGTTCTTCATCAAAGAAAAGTGTATTAGAATCACCACAAAATACTCTTTTCATCAATTATTTCTCTTCTAATTAGGATAATCTAATTATACAAATATTCAAAATACCTTGGATAACCAATTAAATGATGTTAATGAAATTTTTTAGCTGAATTTTTAGTTTCTTCAATGGGATCTTTGCATTATACAATTCTTTTAGATTTTTGATCTAAGATTTCTGAAAACTTCTTATTTTTTGGAATGGATAATGAAGCAATTCTATTTCCATCTATTGAATTCTATTGATTAATTGTTGTATTTTTAAATGAATCTAACATTCTTGAATGAAATAAAAGAATTTACTTAAAATCTCTATTAGTTTTACCTTGATGATGAATACGATCTCTTCTGACTATCATTTAGAACAGTTACAATTAATAATATAATCTATTATAAATTTTAGTTAAATTAATCTAACTTTTTACAATATACATTAATAGATAAGACTTTAAGATATTAAGTATTATCTATTATGTATATAATAATTTCTTATACAAAATTTGATTATATATATTAATTATTTTATGGATTAAATTGAATTTAAAACACTAGATGAATTCATTAGATTATTTCATAAAAAGGGTAAAATGTTATAGAAATGTAGTGTCGACATTTACAACATCTGAAATGTAAATTTAATTGTAACATTTGGCATAAATGCTAAGTGAGAAATAAATATAGACTGAAGCTAAGAATGATTGTTTTTTTAAGAGATGGAGTGAAATCAAATTGCCTATTAGTTTAATAACAATTGATTTCATATCTTAATTATTTGTGATTTATACAAAAGTTAATGAGACTTTGAAAGAAGATGTATTTATTGTATTTAGAATAGATTTTATTAGATTTTATATGGCCACTTATAGTGTATGAATTTGAAGATAAAAAAGTAGTAGTTGAATATTTTAATATAATGAAAACCATTTACGATAAAAAGTACAGAGAATTACTAAAGAGTTTTGGAATATTAGAAATAGTTAAATATATGGTAATATTGTCGACAATAATCACAGCTTAAAACAACCGAAATCGATGATATGATTTGTTGTGAATAACACAATAATAAAGAATAACCATAATAAATCATAAGTTAAGAAATTTAAACTAAAATTGATTAATTTGGATTGTTTATTAATGAGATAATCCATTAAATGATTAATGATTTAAAATAAGCTACAGGAAATAATTTGAATGATTTAGAATCATTATTTGGAATATCTGTTCATCAATTACTTTCCTATTGTACAAAAGATCATAATTGCTGTTAAGTTCAAACTTTATTAATTATTCTTTTAGTAAATTAAGTATATTTATATTTAGAATTAATTACCTTAAGTTAATGCAGATATAATATAGAAAGTATTTTAGAACTTTGAAGCAATAAGTTTTATTGTTCTTTTGTATAATTCAACGACATCTTAAGTACTTTAAGTTTACTGCATTAAATTGTTTCAAGTTATTACAAACAAGAATCCTTCGGTATCATCAATATATTATATAGATTATATAAAAACTTATTTTAAGTATTATTCCATCTTCTAATAATAAGAATTTTTTACAAAATTTACATTCTGAACCTTTGATATGTTCAATATTGGAATGGCTATTAAATATTCCTACTTCAGTTAAGATAACTGAATATTAGATGTTTGATGAAAAATTAACATTTAAAAATCATGATGTCATGGAATTAACTCTAAATTATTTATACATCTGTCCTGTAATGATGAAACAATAATTAATTACAACATTATATACATTGATGAGAAATAATAAAGAAAATTAATTATTTTTGTTATCCAATAAACATTTCTTAAGTACATTTCCTAAATTCTTAATGAGTCTTTAGGATGATGATTTTCTAGAAACTGATGAAAATCAAAATTCATTACAAAAATCAGTATTTATTTTTTTAATTTAAAGATTTATGATACTAGTTTAAAATTAATATCAACAGTGTTTATGAACTAATTTCAAAATGGAAAGATTGATATGCTATTTTAATGGCTTAAATTAGCTGAATTGGAGCATATTAAATAGAAAAATGAAGATCTTGATGGATTCAAAGATGCAAGAACACCTAGTTATTTTATTAGGTAATTGATTACTTATGTTTTTAATAACATTCTTAAAAGCTCAATATTAAATACTTCTGAATTATCAAATGAATAATTATGGAGAGGATTTCATTTATTTATTGCATCTTTTTTGGCTATAATCACCAAAGATTTAATTCAATAAGATTAAAAGATATCTAAATTAATAGGAAAAAAGGTTGCATACAGTCCATAATTGTTAATGATTACATGTAAATTAATAGATATATATGAATATAGAATTATTTGAAAATTAAAATTGGATTGATTATTAATTTTGTATTCGTATCATTTAGATTGTTAACTTTTTGTACAGTTAAACAATATCCATGAATTTGGATATTATTAAACCAAGTATTAATTTTAAGACATCTGAATTTGCATTATGGTTGAATCAATTATTTAAAAAGATATTAAGTAATGAAAAAGATAATATATTTCTAATGAGAATAATTTAAACATTGATATGTTATTATTAACATTATATAGTGGCATAAAACTTTGGATAATCATAATTGGAAGAGATTTAATAATTATTAAAAGCATATAGACATTTTATGTAGAGTTTAATTTGTGGAAGTTAATAATTTAAGAATTTAAAACATATACCAGTAGATATTGAATATTAGATTACTTTAAGTCATTATTTCTATATTGAATCTTAGATGAAATTAATAAATTAGATAAAATAAAAGTGTTAAAAAGATCATCATGGATCTCATGATTCCTTTTTCAATTTATATGCATTGTAAGAACTTATTGCTTATATTCAATAATAATTACAAGAATATTATTTGAGTTTGATTAAATTATGTTAAATATATGGTAAAAGATCTTAAATTTTCATTTGGAACTTTTGTTATGAACTTATAAGAATTAAAAAATATGAAGGGGATGTTCTAGAATCATATTTATAAACATTGATTAATTAACCAGATATTATACATGATATTGTAATTAGTGATGAAATGATTGTTTATTATTATGATTGTCCAAATATGGTGAATTTAAAACAAAAATCATAATTGAAATTGAATGAATTGATTAAATGGGCTAATCTTTTAATATAATAATAGGAACATGAATAGATATTACTTTATTAAGAATAATATTCGAGATAGAGTCAAATTCTTATGAAAGATGTAACCAAAACTTTAGATAAATATAATTTAATCTAATTGCAAAATTATGAAATTTTTGAAAAAGAGAAATTAAAATATGATCAATCTAAAACATTATGATTTATATAAATTGATATTAATTCAAATTCCACCCCAATTCTTTGAATTTTCATTGAATTCCCACACTAATATTATATATATATTTCAAATTTACATCTTATATAATGTCGAATGGAATGTGAGAAATAAATCATAATCAACAAAACTACAGATTCTATTGTAATTTGTATTATAATTAATCCTGTTTGATTAAGTGATTCACAGACAATATCACTAATTACTTATTCAGATTCAGGATATAAACGAAATTAATTCATTTAATATGCCATATATCCATAAACCAGAATTCTAGTGAATAATACCCATAATAATGTCCAAAAATATCCCTAGTCCTATATGCTTTATACCTATGAATTTTCTATGAATTCTTTGCATCAATTGAATAAAACCCAAAAATTGAACACAAAATCCAAAATATATTCCCTATTAATAATGCCCCTATCATATAAGCATAGGATAAACACTTATCATAATATTGGAAAAATTAGAATCCATGCTATATACTATCATAACTCAACATCACCTAATATTAAAATTAATTAATACTGCTATAAAAGTATTTGCTCCTTGTACAAATTATATTCTTTTTTCTATTATTGCATTGAATGAAGAAGAATCAGATGAAACTAAATAGTTCTCCTGTATGTGTCTAATAATAAATGGTTTTGAGGATGTATTCATATTAATTTAATATTTATATATATATATATTTAGATTATACAATTATCTAATACCTTACTTAACTCGAGCCTACAAAGTTATCAATTCTTTACAAATACCTAAATGTTTTTATATTTTATAATAATGATATTATGTATTTTCCTCTTTCTTGGATGTTTCTTGACATAGACAATTATCTAACAAAATTCATTCAAAGGTATTAAATTAATCACCATCCCTTTTAATATTGCAACAAAACAAATAAAAATCACAATGGATTCTAAATATAATGATGATTATTAATTCAACCCTTTTCTATTTATTTGCATCACTAAGCCAACTCACAATACATTCATGTAATTGCTTTAAGAAGAAAAGTGAGTATTAATTTTAATTAGATGCTTTGTAAATTGGTTTTCCTATCAAATGAGATAAACTTAGTATATCATCTTGTAGAAGTAATCAACCAATAAATTTATTTCAAATTACTATCAAGTCTATTAATACGATGAATCTTTATATATTGGATTTTAATCAACTTATGAAGCAGATATAATTGTAAGAATATAATAAATCAATTCCAATTAATGCATTTTGTAAATATTAACTTTATATCAGGGAATGTTAAAATGAAACAGAATGTTAGAATCAATTTTGCAATTGCAATTTTTATCAAATTGGTTAGGATTGCAATCTTATTATAGATGATCTCACTACATAATAAATATTTTAAGGTGGAAAGATTTATTATATTGATGTTAATAAAGGTTAAAATGAAAACCAAGAAATCTTGTTAGAATTTCAAAACTCAACTACATTCTATGGTTTTTGTATCACTTAAAATTTCAATTTAAACTTAATTAAATAATATAATAATAAGACATTATATATTTCATTAGATCAAATAAAGGAATGTTATTAATATGTATATTATTTCAAAGAATAATTTAATTCCTCCATAAATTACTATTATCTAATATATTTTGATTCAAACTACTATACATATTTGGAAAGCTCTATTAAAAGTACTGATAATTACTAACTTATTATAATTCTATCTACTATTCTATCCTCAATGTCAATCTGCTTTTTATTTTGTCTTATAAAATCAAAATGTTATAAAAAATAAAAAGAGACTGAAAAAGAGGATTTGAAATATGAATTAAAAAATCCTTTATCTATAATAGATAAATTCTTTCCATCCTAAGAATTTGTAGCACTTCGAAATAAATGTGAAAAACTTGTGACATTAAATCAATGCCTGATTTGTCTTGATCTATTCTATGATGATTCACGTGTAAGAGTTACCTATTGCAATCATATCTTCCATACATCTTGCTTCGATAAATGGATGAATGTACATAAAGTAATGTGATACTACATATCACCAGAGTTGTCCTAATTGCAGGAGTTAATTCGACTAAGAATCCATCCTTAAATATTCCAACCAGAAAGAAACTGAAATGCTTTAATGGAGTAGTAGAACAGAAGAGATGAAGACAACTATGAAACCACTAATCAATGAGACATAACAATAACAACCTTAAGTTTCTTAATTAGATTCATAGAGAAACATATAAGCTTTTTGAATTAGTTTGTTTTATTTTTATACAAGAATTTGTAAAATAATTAATTAATGAAGGAAAAATTTTACCATGCATTTAAAAATGAATTGGATCTCATACAAAAACTATAGTTAAACCCTTTATTTAAATAAATCACTATATGGACTGATCATTTGTTAGAGAATTAATAGTTGACAGAATAAGAAAAATTATTATAAGAGTTGTCCAATAATTAAGATCATTTCAAAAAACTATTATAAGATTGTTGTAATAATTTGGAAGAACAAAATTTAAGTCTCCTTTGTCTATTGTCTTTAGTTTTTGGTTTGATAGTTCCAATAGAATTGATTGAAGAGGAAAATATAGCTTATATTATAGAAAGATACTACAGTACATTATTTAACTATTAAAAATTTAGTTTAACATTCAAATTCTATAAAACTATTGATTACTTTATTTAGTAAATTTAAATTCAATAATATTATGATACTTTTACCTTTAGTACATGATTAAGAAATCAATTAGCTTGTATAATCAATCAAAATTAACTTGTTTGATAAAACATATATATCTATTTATGATTTAATTGAAAAATATACCTAAAATGTATTATATATTATTATATTAATAGAAAGATTAAGAGTATTTTGATTAAATAATTAAATTATCTTCAGATTTAGACATTTATTCATCAAATAAATTGCATCTTTAATTGATTAAACAAATTAAAAAATTTATTGAATATGAAAGTAATGAATTGGCATAAAAGTTTGTTGATATTGAATTGAATGATTATTATGAATCCGTTCCTTTATTTAAGGATATAAAAGTAGTTAGAAGTAAAGAGGATTTATTGAATAGGAAATTATTTATATAAAATGAATTCATACATGTTCCAGAAGATGAAACTATTGAATATAAGGAAATGGTCAATTTAGAAGCTAAAAATCAATTCATTGTTAAGAAAGCTGTTACTGCATTTATGAATTAAAAAGGTGGCACTTTATTTATTGGAATTAAAGACTCTTAGGAAGTTAGAGGGTTTAATGTTGGATCTAACATTTACTATTTTAAATAATGTATATTGGATGAATGTTTGGATATGATTCATCCAACTCTTATATTTGAAAAACAAGTTAAAGTAGATTTAATACCAATTTATTCTTATGATTGTATTGAAATTGAAGGGCATTTCATAATTAAAATTGAATTGACAAGAGAATTAAATTGTCCATATGTCTATACCTTTGGTGAATTAATTGAATATCATTAATAATGTGAAGTTACATTTTGTTTCAAAAGATAAGGAGATCAATCTAAAGCTGTTAGACATCATCATTTAAAATAATTAATCAAAATTCTTAATTTAAATTAAAATATCATAAGTTCTGAAAGAATTGGTAGAGAATATTTTATTGATAATAGAATTAAAAATAGAAAATATATTAATTAATCTTCCAAAGAAAGAGGGGATTCAAATTAAATCTAATATAAATAAGATTTAAGAATGAATCAAAATTTATTTAAAGAAATTGAATCTAATTAAAATATAGATAAAAATCTTGAACCTCATCCAGATATAGATTTAGCTAATTTAAATTTATAAATTAATTCTTAATTAAATTAAGTTTAGCAATGGTAACATTGGGTTGTTATTCGTAAACTCAAATCAAATGATTTTGATCGATTAATTAATATCCTTATAACTCTTTAAGATGTTTGTATTTAAGATATCATTATTGCTTCAACTACAATTCATATACAATTAAAAAATATTAGCAAAGAAGAATTTATTGAGAATCTAAAATATCATTTTAATAGATAAGGAGAACGAATTAAATTTACATATGGATATCCATAAGTAATTTAAATTGCATAATAAAATATTGATATTGAATAAATTATCTCTGATAATTTAAAATTACATAATTTTTAAATTCATGTCAAAAAAGAATGTAAAATAATTGAAGCTAAACATGTTGAAGATCTTATTTAAATTTATAAATTTATAAAAGAAAAAATAAAGATTGAAGTTCATTGGAAGTTGAAAGAAGCATAAGAATTTGTATTTGCAGCCATAGATGAGTCATCAAATTTACTAAATTGAAATATAATATTTAATTCAGTAATCAAATTATTTTATAATTGTTTATCCAAATCATTAGTATTTATATACATTAATTATGTATATGACATACATAAATTAGATTCCATTTTTAAGTTGAAATAAACTAAACTAAATTTTAATAAGGAAGCCCAATAAAATATTCTTGAGCCTATAGTTTTTTATATAATAATTGAATCCTTTATTGCTATCAAATAATTATTATTATCAATTATAAAATGTAGCTATTTCTAGTCATTTATTAAATTATTGTTAAGCAGCAATTATAATAATTAATGTAATATCTTTAAGCAAAAGATTTATATAACAATTAAAAAACTACTAAATTTTAAAAGTTGTAAATAGATAAGAATTATAATTCAATTATTTTTTCAACTTTTGATAATATAAAGCTTACCTTCATTACATCATTAGTGTGTTTATTTTTATTTGATAAAAAACATTTCCCATACAATCAATATTAAGTTACATTGAAATATTAAATTGGACTAAAAATAAACATTTAAATCTATTTGAACTTTGCATTAATTAAAAAGGCTCTAAGATTCTTAAATCTTTCATTACTATATGATTACTACATGTTTAAATTTTGAATACATTTTTTTATAAAAACAAACAATTTGAGCCATTCATTTTGTTTTTATATCAATTAACACTAAAAATAAAAAATAAATTTAAATCTTAAATATTTGATTTCAATTGCTTCATGAATTTAAATAAAATATCTCTTTCTGTAAATTTTTCTATTAATTTTGTCCCTTTCCTTTATGAAATTAAACATTTTTTGATAAGTTTATTTCCTTATATATGAAATAAATTAACAAAAAAATAACAATTATAAAAGATTTCATCTAGTATTTTCATCTTCTGTAAAATTTAATTTATTAATTAAGAATACTTAAATTACAATAATATTTATAGTATAACTCTGGTAGTAACTCTATTACCATCGAAAAGTATAATTCATATTTTCACTGCACTGAATATCAGTTTCAAGTTGGAACCCCAGCTACTCATGACTTGAATCTGGGATGATATGTTGGTAATCTATTTAAATAAATAAAAGGTTATGGAAATACTTTAACTGAAAGTAAATTAATTCAATTCTATATCACTAAAATCAAGTTTTTTCTTATTGAATTTCTTTATTACTTTATTATTTATTATTTAATTCTATTAATTTTTTTAAATTTGCAACTATCATTTAAGAGGTTTTTACATAATATTTCATATTTTCAATTATTTGTTTTTTTTCAATTACCCCCCTGTTATTGAAATTTAAAACTATTTCAAATCCTAAAGATATTAATAATAATTATCTAATAATACAAAAAATTGATGATAGACTTTTATTATTATTTTTCTTAATTTCAACAGTATTAAATAAAATGAAATAAATAAATATATTGTATAAAAATTATGAATATCAATTTTTTGTCATGATTTTATTAAATATCCTTATTAATTTAGAAATTAAATATTCAATAGGTTCCATAATATATTCTTTATTTAAATGTCTTTCTTGTTTTTCTATAAATTCTTAATGCTTTTTTTAAACTTTTTAAGAAATTCTTTAACTTATTGATGTTTTATTATTTTAAAGATTCTCAAAATGCATCTTCATTCGAACATCTTTAGTAATTTATTTTTAGTTTTACCAATTTATTAAATATTGATATTTTAAATGATTTTATGGGTCTTATAATTCTTCAACTATATATTATGCAAATGAATTTTAATCTAAGTACCAATCAAATAAGTTTATATATTGTTATAATATATCTATTAATATAGAAATAAACTATTCGTCTAATTCTTTCAGAACTATATTCAATTTAGTTATTAAGATTTTATATTTAGGATCAAATTCACTTTAATTTATTTATTTATATTGAGTCTTATCAACTAGAATTGAATTTGCGAATGAATAATTCTTCCTTCTCTATGATAAAAAGAAAAATTCAGGGCAATTATTATTTTATTAAAAATATGATTCTTGAATATTTTCACCCTACTATTTATAATAAGGCTCTTTTTGTGAATTGTTAGTTAAAATTCTAATCTTATAACATCCTTGTGTAGCAAATAATTTGAAGAGTTTAACACAATCAGGATCTAATTAAATGTAATTATTTTATTCATCTGGGGCTATTGATATTGCTTTCTTTCTTAAGCCTTACCGGCCCCTAGGTCTTCCGCGCTAAATTCTCATCTTATGATGATGATGATTATTATTATTATTATCATTCTTATCATAACCATTTTATTTTATAAATATAATTAAAAGCCCAGGAAAAAAACAATATTCTATAAGAAATGATCAGAATTTTTTTTTATTCAAGCTAAAACCTGATAAAATTAAAATTTTACATAAATCTTTAACATAGCCATATGAAAACCTTTTTACAATTAGTTCTATTCATTTTATAACTAATTATGAGACTAAATTAATTTTTGAAGTATTCAAAAAAAATCCTTGTGGATAACTGATTTAATACGACAGCCCCCGCTCTACCAACTGAAATATTTTCAGATGTTATTATAAATCAAACTTTAATATTCTTATAATAAAAATGTAGATATCTACAAAATGAATTATAATGATTAATTTATTGGAAACAAATTTAATCTATAGTTAAAATTCATAAACATGACGATTTAAAGTTTACAATATATACTATTTGATATTTATAATCCTTAATTCCAAAATTACAAAAAGACTTTAAATAATCCTTTACGTTTTAATCTAAATTTTATACTATTTATAATTAATAAGATATATATATATTTATTATTATATATTTTTTAATCTTGATATATAATGAGAAAAAATAACAATCTAAACTAATTCCGATTAAACCTAAAAATGATATATTAATTATAATTAAATTTAAAAATATTTATCAAATTTATATTCAATTAATAAAATTGAGTTAAATCTTATTTATTTTTTGATTTTTAAATGCATTTATAAATTGTATAGACTTATCATAAATCGACTTACAACAAAAATCCTAACTCCAAATACAGAATATTTATATTATTCTCATTATAAGAAGTAACTTATTTATAATACATTTAAATGATTAAGGTATTATTGGAGTAGAATGAACAAGAAGATAGATATACAGGAATCGTATTGTTGAAATACTATAATGTGAACTTGATTGTAATGTTGAATGACTTTAAGTTATAATTATAATGACAAGTATTGTTGAAAGAAAAAGAAATAAAGAAAAATTTTGAGTAAAATATTGAATTAACTAGATTTTTGACATTCATTTAATTAGGAAAAAATGAAATGGAGAGTTTTTTATTTAAAGATGATTATATAGTCATACTATTAAGAAAAATTCAAGCATTTTTTTCAAATTAATAATTTTCTTTATCTAACTTTGAATATTTTACAATAATATATCTGTCAAAATTCACAAATTATCTATTCATTTTGATATTTTTTAAATTTATTAAATACTTCTTCTATATTATAATAATTCCTCTTAAATTATTAACATTAATTGCATAACCAAAATACTATAATAATAAAGTTTATTTTTTGCAACAAAATTTGTAAATCAATGATTATTTAACTTTTCATCAATTAATTATTAGACAATTTTTTGCTTTATATGATTTTAGAAAAAAATTTAATTAAACTAATTAATAGAATTATATTTAGACTATTTTAATTAATATTAACAACTGAAAAAATATTTATGAATCATATCAATAAAATATTGGCTCCAGTTGTTATACGGGTTTCTTAACACTAATCCCAATAAATTTCATTAGCTTTCTTATTTAAGGCTAATTTGACTTGTTTTATTTTACTATATTATATTAAATCAAGTATAAATGTTGCTGCCAAAATCAATGAAAAAGTAAATATTCATAACCATCCAATATTGATTATACTCTCTGATTTTAAAGTCAATTCAGCTTAGTAAAGATAAAATAAAAATGAAATTGAATTAAAAATTATTAATGATTTAGTGATTAAAATTTTGATGTATTCAAATTAATTTCTTAATGGCTTGTTGAGAAGAGTGTGAATTAAAAATAATTATTAAAAGAATGATATTCCAAATGCTTAAATAAATCCATTGTCTTACAAAAAAACAATAAAAGAAATAAAAATAAGCTTCTTTATTACTTATATGGTATTATATTAGAATGTCCAAATATTATAATTGTCATTTATCCCATCAAAAATTACTTCATATTTTGATCTATTTCTAATTGAATTTTGTTTTGAGAAACAACTAGAAATGTTTATTAAAAATAAGATAGCACCAATAATACATATGTAAAATAGACATGACAAATAATAATTTATAAGTAAAATATTATTCTTTTCAACAGAATAATATGCAGCTTTTCCTGGTTTTTAATGTAATTTTTATGAAATTAAAAAAAAACCAATTTGTAATGACTCTAGCTTATTTTTGAAAATCGGATGAGATATAAGTATATAAATCATTAGTATTTAAAATATCTATTATTACTAGGATAAACACAAAATATAAATTACAAAAATCCTAAAGGAAACAAAGGATANTATAGTCATACTATTAAGAAAAATTCAAGCATTTTTTTCAAATTAATAATTTTCTTTATCTAACTTTGAATATTTTACAATAATATATCTGTCAAAATTCACAAATTATCTATTCATTTTGATATTTTTTAAATTTATTAAATACTTCTTCTATATTATAATAATTCCTCTTAAATTATTAACATTAATTGCATAACCAAAATACTATAATAATAAAGTTTATTTTTTGCAACAAAATTTGTAAATCAATGATTATTTAACTTTTCATCAATTAATTATTAGACAATTTTTTGCTTTATATGATTTTAGAAAAAAATTTAATTAAACTAATTAATAGAATTATATTTAGACTATTTTAATTAATATTAACAACTGAAAAAATATTTATGAATCATATCAATAAAATATTGGCTCCAGTTGTTATACGGGTTTCTTAACACTAATCCCAATAAATTTCATTAGCTTTCTTATTTAAGGCTAATTTGACTTGTTTTATTTTACTATATTATATTAAATCAAGTATAAATGTTGCTGCCAAAATCAATGAAAAAGTAAATATTCATAACCATCCAATATTGATTATACTCTCTGATTTTAAAGTCAATTCAGCTTAGTAAAGATAAAATAAAAATGAAATTGAATTAAAAATTATTAATGATTTAGTGATTAAAATTTTGATGTATTCAAATTAATTTCTTAATGGCTTGTTGAGAAGAGTGTGAATTAAAAATAATTATTAAAAGAATGATATTCCAAATGCTTAAATAAATCCATTGTCTTACAAAAAAACAATAAAAGAAATAAAAATAAGCTTCTTTATTACTTATATGGTATTATATTAGAATGTCCAAATATTATAATTGTCATTTATCCCATCAAAAATTACTTCATATTTTGATCTATTTCTAATTGAATTTTGTTTTGAGAAACAACTAGAAATGTTTATTAAAAATAAGATAGCACCAATAATACATATGTAAAATAGACATGACAAATAATAATTTATAAGTAAAATATTATTCTTTTCAACAGAATAATATGCAGCTTTTCCTGGTTTTTAATGTAATTTTTATGAAATTAAAAAAAAACCAATTTGTAATGACTCTAGCTTATTTTTGAAAATCGGATGAGATATAAGTATATAAATCATTAGTATTTAAAATATCTATTATTACTAGGATAAACACAAAATATAAATTACAAAAATCCTAAAGGAAACAAAGGATACAAATAAAATTTAATATCCTTTAAAAGTGAATAGAAAAATCAAATTGTTTTCCCATAATTTTAAAAACTTTGGTTTTCATCATATTTTTCTCAGAGTAAAATTAAAAATTTAATTCAATTCTGCTGTATCTTATTATTCTAAAGTATTTGTAAAAATATCTAAAATTATTTATTTTTTGTAATGTATTTGTATATTTTTTCTATTTTCTGCATTTAATTAAATAATGGAATAATAGTAAAATGAATAGGGTCAACCACTTAGAATTGAAGAACCTGTATTTAAACTGACCACTTAATTGATGAAAACATGCAATCCTAAGTAAGAGAGTTTAAGACATCTATGAAAGAAATTTAGATAAGAAATTCCTCAAAGACTTCAAAATCAAACCCAGTGAGACTCTTGTCAATTTGAATAATACAAAATTAGATCCTTAATCTCCAAAAACCAGCAAGGCATTGTAGGATTTAAACATATTTCCAAACTAATTGGAATTGCAGTACAATAATTTCTTATACTCATAGAGATAAATTAGAGTATAAAAAAAATGGAGAATCTTAAGAATTAACAGAAAAAAGATATTGGTTACACTATTTCTAGGTTGCTTAATTAAAAAAGGCTGTAATTTTGTAAAGGAATAAGTATAAAAGAGAAGAATGGATTGAAAAATAGTAACGTCCCAAATCGATCTAAACTCTGGATCAAAGCATGAATAGTAGTATCAATATTAGTGAATATGTTCCTTATAAAAGTCCTACTGAAATGATTGAGAGCTGGATAGATAGTCAAGTGTAATCAAGTGATCGCCAATTATAAAAATTCAACAAACTATAATAGGTAAATTATTTCAAAATAATAATATAGAAAAGAAAAGAATTAGAGGAATAGACTTAAGAAGAATAGGAAAAGTACAAAGAGAAGCTAGAAATAATATAGGAAAAGAAGAAAAAGAATAGATTAAACAATTTAAAGTAGAAATCATAAATTGCGAGAAAAGATGTATCTAAAAGTTTAGAAGTTTCTACTAAAATGAAGACTGTTATTCAAGAAGAGAAATATAAAAATGCTTAATTAAAAAAATTATAAACAGAATAAAATATTGAAAAAGCGTATTTAATAAATATTAAAAAAATAGATAAAAAAGAGTTGATCAAATAAAATAGACATATGTAGATGTTTTAGAGGAAAAATAAAAGATTTATGAAGAAAAATTACATTAAGTTTTAAGAAAGAAAGATGAATAGGATTAATAATTGATGTAATAGAGATTATAAGATATTTAAACAGAGAGAACTAATAAATCTATTAAAAAAATTAGAAAATCAAATGAATGGTCTACAAAATTGCCTTTGTTGATTAGTAGAAGTGAAGCTTAATTTAAAAATGTTTATAATTCTAATTTAGCTTCAGTTATTGAAAAATTTTAAAAGGAAGAAAAAAAGAAACTTAAATTACATAAATCATAAGAAATAGAGAAAGAACAAGTTGAAGAAATAAAATAAAAAGAAGAATAATTTAAGAAAAGATATTCAGATAAACTCAAATAATTTGAGTAATATTATGTTGATATAAAATAGAAATAAAAGATAAAAAATTGAAGAGAAATTTGCTTAAAAGGATTAATATTTAGTTGAACACTTATAAAAAAAGAAGGAAGAATTAGAAGAGAAATTTGAAAAAATTAGAGAATTAAGTGCAGAAAATGAGAAAAGATTCGTAAATATAAAATAATAATATAACAATAAATGTGATAAATAAATGGATAAAGAATAAAAGAAATTTAAATAAAATATGAGTCTCATAAAATAAAGAGAATAAATAATTGAGTAGTTAAGATATAAAAGATTCTTAGAAAAGAATAAACCTTTGACTTTATCTTAAGATACTACATCAAAATAAAGTGATAGCAAACTTTAATTATGATAAGAAGAAAATAAAAATATATATATAAATTAATTTAATGTACTTTTAAATCCATAATATCAATCTGTGTGTTAAGATCCTTTAGTTGCACCAACACCTGGTTTTCCATGTCTAGTTGGTTTATAGGTTAATGAAAATTCACCCAAATATCTAAAATATGCTTAAATCATTTATACCTGCCAATCATATCAAACTTGATTTCAACATTGCTAAATTATCTTCCATTATAAACTCCAACAATTGAACCTACCATTTCTGGAACAACAATTGTATTTCTTTAATGAGTCTTGACAGGTTTTGGTTTCTCACCAGGCAATGTTTCCTTCTTGCTTTTTCTAATCTAAATATTTACTATCAAATCTTTACCTTTTTCATTAAATTTTAGAAGGCATGTACCTTCTCTCCTTGATTTGAGATTCTTCTTCTTTATCTGGCTCTAAATTATTCCACCAATTTATCCATAGGTAGTTTAACCAACTCTTCAAGTTAGAGTCCTCTGTAAGTGAACTTCTTAACTCCCTTGAATTGTTTGTCTTATGTTTATTCTGCCATAATTTGAAAAATGAAAATTAAAGATTTTAATATATTCCAAAACATCAAGCATTATATAAAACAATTATTTCCCTCAATTATTAATAATCATTATTTATTTATATATTTGTTGAAATATATACAATATAATCTTATATAAGAATGAAATGAACTATATTATTAGATATAATTTGAAAGTTAATTATATCAAAAATATTTAAACATACTTTTTAAGTATTGAATTAACTATATATATTTATATATATTTTTTATTTTTAATTTAATCATATAATAATTTTTTATTAAAATAAATGAAATAGTTTGTCAGCCCATAGGATATGCTTAATAAATTTAGAAACCCTCATGAAATTTATACACAACAAACAGATTTTTATTATGACCCATAAAGCGATGCAAACATACCAAAAATTTTATAAGTATTACTAAATTTAAGCAAAAGCAATCAATCAATTTTTTTGATGATGAAATAAGTAAAAAAACAAAAGATAAATTAATAGAAGAGTTAAGATAAAATATTATTCGTTGGTTAAAACTATATTAATCAGTTGAATAAGAATTTGCTGGAGAATTGGCAGTTTTTGGTTCCTATAGATTTGGAGCAAATGGAAAAGATAGTGATATTGATTTAATTATATTGGCACCTCCTTAAATAGATAGAGAACTTCATTTTTTCTAATAATTACCTTCAATTTTAAGTTCTAATTCAAAAGTGACAAATTTATATTGTATTTAAGAAGCTATGGTTCCTTTGATTAGATTTAAATTTGCAGGTTTTTAAATATTCATACTATAATATAGGTATACAATTCGATTTAGTATTTGCATGTGTTAAAAAAATAATGAAACCTTTAAGTTAGAGTGATCCAGTTGATGAGAAATCTAGTAGGTCATTAAATGGATTAAAAGTTAGTGATTACTTTTCAAAATACTGTCATCAAAAATCTTATTTGTCATTTTTAAAGTTTATAAAAGCTTGGGCAATCAATAGAGGTATCTATGGGAATGTGATGGGTTATTTGGGAGGAATTTCATGGTAAATATTGACTCATAAGATATTTTAACTTTATCCTAATTATAGTGTTTAAGGTTTAATTGAAAGATTCTTCTTCATTTTCTCTTAATGGAAATGGAATGAATTACCTGTTGTTATTCAAAAATGTGATGAAATCTGGAGAAATTCTCTTTTTGAATAATAATAAAAGTAACATAATGTAATGACAATTCTAACACCTGTTTATCCATATATTAATTCTGCATATAATGTATCAAATTGTACTTTTACTATTATTGAAGAGCAATTAAAATTAGCAAATATAATAATGCAAAAGATTTGTTTATCAGAATTACAATGGGTATAATTGAATTTCTTATAATAGTCTGACTTACTAAAGAAAATCTAATTTTTTGATATCTATTACACATATCTGTAAATACGAGCATTATCTAAAAATAAGGATGATCTAATTTAATGGAAAAGTCATATTGAATCTAAATTAAGAAAGCTAAATAAAATGTTAGATGAAGGTGATGTTAATAAAGCAATAGAATTTCATCTTTATCCTAAAAGTTTCTAAACAGATTATGTTTAAGGAGATGAAAATGATATTCCTGGATCTCTCTTTAATTTTAGTGAAAGCTTTTATTATGGAATTAGAATAAAGGATGAAGAACTAGTTAAAGAAAAACTTGATATTGAAAATATTATTAGATAATTTTGTGATTGCCTTGAAGGATAGAAACCTTATTTCAGAGTTCCAGAGAATCTTAATTTAGAAATCAAAGTAATTTAATACTTAATAATAAATTAGTCATTACATAAGGATTAGATTCCAAAAAAAATAAAATCTGAATTGTGATGTCCTACTTTATATATATTTAATTATTTCATCATCAATTTTTTATAACTCATTTTACAGAGATAATAAATAAAATTCATATTCACAAAACCTACTTCCAAAGTTTTTTTTATTATAATAAACTATTATTTTTTAGTTTCTCAGAAATATGATTTAAAATTTCTGCTTAAATTTCATCAATACTTTTTAGAGCATCAATTTTATAAAAATTCTCTTACAATGCTAATATATCAAAAAAGCTGCCTACTCTATGCTAAAATGAAGAATTTTCATATATTTCCCTTCCATAATCTCCTCTTTTACATAGTTCCTCAATTGGGGCAGTTAAATAGAATGTGATATCTGGTTAAATAAGTCCTGCATCAGGAGCTTTGCACCATTCTATTGGTAAACCTTTAGCTGCTGAAAAAGCCACTCCAGAAAAAGCATAACGATCACTCACAATATTAGTTCCATTTTAAAGCAAATTACAAATAGATGTGCTAGAATATATTAAATTTTTGTACTGCTACTCCCATCTATTAGCTGAAAATAATAAATGTATCACTTCATCACTCATATTTTTATTTCCTCTTAGATAATCAGAAATAATAACTCCAAGTTAAGTAGTTCTGTCTGGGAATGACACTTTTTGAGCATTTAATTTTTATGAAAGTAATTTAGCTTAAGTTGATTTACCTGATTTATCTAGACCCTCTAGAGCAATAAATAATCCTCTATTCATTTTTTTTATGGTTTGCTGAATGATTATTTCCATAAATTACCACAAATATTAATAATAACAGTTTATATTATAATTTATAAATATAATGATAAAGTAGACATAAAAAGTTTATGAATCATTTGAACATTTTTGTGGATTGTAATAATAATGGATAAAACAAGAACATGAAGAAGAACAAAAATTTATTTAATTAATAAGTTAAGAATTGACTCATGCTTAAATAATATAAATGGGTTATGGATTAGGAAAATTAAAATTAGTCAAAACTAAATTGACATTTGGTAATAGATAAGTACTTGTTTTTGAATAATAATAAAAATTATAATAAGAAGACAATAAAGAAGAATAAAATAAAGAATTTTCAGAAATAAAATAAGAAAATTTTAGATTAAAATAAGGTGATTAAGTAGGCATTTATATATGGTCTAATGTTTTAAATTAATAGAAATTTAAAAATCCAGAAGCAATTGGTGTGATTGATAGATATAGAAAAAATTTAAGAATTATTTTAGAATAAAATTGTAAAGTCCCTGATGATAATTCAATCTATGGTATTTGTTTATAGGAAAATCAAGTAACATATAAAAGGTATTTCTTTTGTTGAAATATAGACATTTATAAGTCATAGAAGATTTAAAGTAATAGTATGAAAAACATCCCATTATATAGATCTTATTTTGTGATTAATAAGAGGAGAAAATAAAGGAAAAAATTGATTAAAATATTGAATTTTAAGGTGATACAATACAATAGTTAAATGAATAGCAAAAAATTGCTGTGCAAAAGGCCATGAAATAACCTCATATCTCTTTAATACATGGCCCACCTGGAACAGGAAAAACAAGAACTGTTTGTGAATATATTAAATAAGCTGTTTTAGTTCAAAGACAGAAAGTATTTTAGTATATTTTAAGTTTGATAGGTATTAGCATGTGCAAATTCTAATATCGCAGTCGATAATATGATAGAAAGGATTTTGAGTATAAGCTAATTGAAAGTTTGTAGAATAGGTAATCCTGCAAGAATGACAGATTAAGTTAGATATGTTTGCATTGATTAATTAGTGAAAAAGACAACAAGTTATGCAATGTATTGAAAATGATATAGTATTTTAGAATGAAGACTATAAAAACAGAAATTTAATAGATTGAAAAGAAACTAAATAGAACAGAGAGAAAAGAAGCAGCTGAGCTTAGAGACAAGTTAAGATAAAAGAAAAAGGAGTACTTTGAATAATAATAATTGGCATATGAAGAGGCTATTTAAGATTGTCAAATAATATTTAGTACAAATGTTGGGAGTGGTTAATTTCAATTTTAATAATTAACAAAAAATATAAAATTTGATGTTGTTGTTATTGATGAATGTGCACAATCATTAGAAATAAGTTGTTGGATACCAATTCTTAAAGGAAATAAAGTAGTCTTAGCTGGAGATCATTGCTAATTACCCCCCACTGTTAAAACAAAAAATACTGGATTAGAAATGACTTTATTTGAAAGAGTTGAAAATGAACTTCATATTAACACTTAATTGACTGTTTAATATAGAATGAATAAATCAATTATGTAATGGTCATCATAAGAATTTTATGAAGGGCATTTAATTGCTGATTAAACTGTTGCAAATAGAACAGTAAGTGATACTATTTTACTATTTGTTGATACTTCATGTTGTGATTTCTATGAACAATAATAAGAAAGTTTATTAAATTTTGATGATTAAAATAAATCCAAATATAATGTAGGTGAAGCAGGACTAGTTTAAATAATTTCTGAAGAGCTACTAAATCTAGGTGTTTAGAAATAAGATATTGGAATAATTACTCCTTATAATGCCTAAGTTTAATTTTTAAAGTCTAAAATTAATGATATTGAAATTTCAACTGTTGATGGATTTTAAGGAAGAGAAAAAGATTGTATCATAATTTCAATGGTTAGATCTAATTAAATAGGAGAAGTAGGTTTCTTATGTGAATCCAGAAGAATGAATGTTGCAATTACTAGAGCAAAAAAATTTGTTTGTCTTATCGGTGATAGTGAAACTGTTTCAAAAGATCCGTTTTTGAAAAGGTTGGTTGATTACTTTGTAGAAAATGGAGAACAGAGGAGTGCATAGGAATATTAACATGATGATAAGATTTAAATACCTATAAAAATTGAATAAGTTTAATAAGATGTAAAGAAAAAGAAAAATCTATAACCTAAAATACAAGTTAAAGAGAAAAATAAAAATAATAAAATTGAAGATCAACAAATAGCTCCAAATATTGTTTAATAAGAGTAAAATGTTCTGTCTTAATTAGAAAAATAAGTTCTTGATTTCATAAATTCAAATGAATCAGAACTTATTTTTAAAGGTCAAAATAGTTTTTAAAGAAAAGAGCTTCATGAACTAGCAGAAAAATATAATTTAAATCATGAAAGTATTGGTAATAATAAATTGAAAACTTTAATTTTATCTAAAATATAAAATGGCAACTAATCAAATTTATAATAAAATGACGAAGATAAAATTGAGATAATTGATAATAATAAATCAAATAATTAAATTATTGATGATGCAAAAGCCGATAAAAGCCAAAAGGTAGAAAAATAACTATAATAACAACAATAATAACAATAATAATAATAGTAATAGTAATAATAATAATAAAAATAACAATAACAATAACAATAGTAATAATAATAATAATAATAACAACAATAATAAAAATAATAAAAATAATAATCATAATAATAACAACAATAATAATAATAATAATAAAAACAATTATAACAACAATAGTAATGTTAATAAAAACAACCTAACTAAAATTCTTAATAAAAATAGGAGAAAAAGTAAAATACTCAAAATAAAAAAACTAAAGAGCAATTGGAAAAAGAAGAGGATGAATTTTTTGATTCGATAGTTTTAAAAGATGAAAAAAAATGTTCTTTTATGTCCAATAATATTTAATGTAGTTAAAGTATATTATGGCTGTCTTAAAAATGTTAATTTTGTAATAATTAATTTTGTCAATACCATTCATATGCTGAAAGGCATGGATGCGAAGATGAAGCTTGTAGACATGCAAAGTAAGGAATAAAAAATATATTAGATTATAATTTTAATCAAATGAGCGAAAAACAGAGAAAAGTAGGACTGCACTTCAAGAGAAAATATAAGAGTAATAGAAGTCTAGAGGAAAAAAGTAAAAAAAATGAGTTTTATAAAGTTACATTTAATAATAAAATGAATTTATAAAATTATAACAGAGAAGGTCGTAATTATAAAACTGAGAGAGTTAGATAGATATCACCCTCTTCAAAATTAATGCATCTAAGCAATTAAGAAATAAGCTTTTATGTTTCCAAATATGGAGATCCTTAGGAAAATACAAAAGATTCTGAAAACACCAAATACTTTATGTCTTTAATTTAACCATTATTAGAAGAGAATTACCAACTAAAAGATACTATATTAAATCTTACCGAAGCTTTGAAATGTAATATTGATTTAATTATTTAGTGGATAAAGAACTGCTTTTGGAAACAATCAGTTAAATAGTTAAAGATAAAAATTTGTCTTCTTCAAGCACAATTAGTGAAATTTTAGAATAGTTGACAATAAGTGTAAAAAAGGATAGAGATTATACAATAAATTTAGAGAAAATAATAGAATAAAAGAATATGTAGATATAATAGTTGTAAGAAGAAATTGAAAACTATAAAAAATGGAAAATTGATTTTATTTAAGAAAAAAATTTAGAAGTAGAAGTTAGAACAAGCAATTTTTTTAAAAAAATGTAGTAATTAGAGGAAAACAATACTGAATTAAGTTAAAAGAATAATGAGACATAAGATTTATTGAATGCAGAGTAATTATACACATAAAAATTAAATGATTAATTATCGAAGTTTGCAGATGACTTGAATAAAGTTTAATAATAAAAATAAGAGGTATTATTATCACAAAAATTAGTTATAATTATAACTAAGTATTGCAGAAAGATAAATATATTAAGAAAAATAAGATAGTTAGAAAAGATTAAATGATTAAATAAGTTAATTGCATAAAGATCATTATCAATAGATAGAATAATTAAAAAGTAAATAATGAATTAAGCTTTAGTTGAATAAATGGGTATTTTGAATGAATTGAAGAAATAAATATTAGATTATTAGGAGGAAATCAAAAATTTAGAATTAAGTTACACTGCTTCATTAGATAAAAACCTTAATGAAATTAAAGTAAAATAAATAATTATTTTCATAGAGACTTTAGCAATAGTTACAAGATTCAGAAAAGCAAATATAAGTTTATAAAAAATAAGAATTAGCAAATTTAGACAATTTAAGTAAAATAATGATGGAAAAGAGAGATAAAGATTAAAAATTAAAGAATATAAACCAAATAATTGTTGAGAAAGATAAATAAATAGATAATTTAACTTTGGATGTTTTGTAATTAAAATCTAAATTAGAATAAGCTGAGTTGAAATGCACTTAGTAAATTACAAAATACAAGTAAATAATTTAAATTAATTAGATAAAAATATAAAGAAAAAATTTAAGTTAAGGTTATTGAAGCTAAAAAAGATTTAGAGTAAAAAATTACAACAGTTGAATAGGAGAAAAAAAAATTGAGTGAAGATTTTAAATAATAAATAATAATATTGGATGTTTAAAAAACTTCATTAGTAAAAGAATGTAAAGCTGATAATGAAAAGTTGAGAGATGAGATTGAAGATTTAGAATTCAAATTAAAAGATTTAGATAATATGTGGGATTTCAAATATGCAAAGTTAAAAATGGAATATGATAGATTAAAGCTGGAAATAGCATAATATTAATGAAATTATGATATCTCTTTTTAAATTTAACTTTGGGTATAATTGATAAAATAAAACAAAAAGAGTTAATTATATATTTATCATTTTTTTCAAACTTATTTAGTGAAATAATTAAATTAAATTATTGAATTTACTCATTTTCTATTTTTCTATTCTTGTTTATTATTTTATTTGTTTTCAAGTAAAATCTTTAAACATTCCAAAAATAAATCTTTAATTTCTTATTTAGGAGCATCTAATTCTAGGTTTCTTTTAGCAATAATAGTAATCCCAAGTGATTCTTTTCCTTTCCGATATTTTTTAAACTTTTCAAAACCTGATCCTTAAGCATTATCTTTGATTTCCTTAATTTATGAAATTTATATAGATTTTTTTTCAGAAGTATTCTTTTAATCAAAAGGTTGTAATTCTTCTTTCCATTTTATATATTATTCATTTTCAGTTAAATAAATAATTTTAATGTTTGGCTTTCTTTATCCTTCAGAATATTTAATCATTGAAAAACCTTATTTTAATTATAGTAGAGCATGTTATAATTTAGTTTATTAATTTATTTGAACCATTTATTTTGGTAATGTACCTCTTAATTCAGGTGATTAATGAGATTGTATTTATACATTATTACTCTAATGAACTTCAGTAAAATGATCAGAGTTTTTTATATTTAAAGTGAACTATTATTATTGTTATTTCTATTCTTAATCTATCAATGGAATTATGTGAGATAATTGTTCTTTTAATTTCTTATAATCTATATTTATTTCTTATCTAAATGGTCTTTCAAATAAGCTATTCTCAAATAATTTACTAATTAAATATATAAATTTAAATACTCTTAATTAATAGAAATATTTTTTCTTAAAATCGACCATAGTGATAAATCTATTTTTGAAAATTCTTATTGATTTTCCAAAATTATAATTAGTTTACCCTCTTTATAATGTATGATAATTTATAAATCATTTTAATAAGTGACATCAACTATCTAAGAAATATTCAAAATCATTTTATTTTCATCTAAATAAGAAGGAGATAAAATTATTTAATCATCAACTATGACAAAAACTCCTTACTCTATTTCTTCATCATTTATTTTGCCTAAAATTGTATTTGTATTTTATTTAACTGTATATTGAATTCTTTAAATACAATAGGTAGAATTAATTAGACTAATCAATTATCGTTAATCATTAGAGTTCTCATGTATATCCTATTCTAATTAAGTGATTTATTCATTTAAAGACTCAATCTTACTCAAAAGTCTTGAATTCTACATTTACAATAATCTTATTTCATTTTATTTAATATCTTCTTATAAATCTTCAACATTTTCTTCTTTTTAATATTTTAAAGAAGAATTAGAATTTTCAGCCTTACTATTAAATTACTTATTGGATTAGAATATTTAATATAAATTATGAGATTCCTATAGATTTTTTTCCAAAAGTGTTGTCAAACCTTATAATAAATTTTAAATATCCTCTTAAGGTTATTAAATTGTTTATTTTTATTAATCATACTTAGTTTGAGGAATGTTATTTTCAATGATCTCTTGTAATGGAATTTTGTTGTCATTTATATTTGCAGTTTCAATAGCTTATTGGAAATCCTTAATTTAATCTATTTATGTTGTACATCTGTTACAAATGCTTGCTTTATTTAAAGTAAAAAATTGTTTAATTCAGTTAACTGATTTGATTTAATGAGCTTCTTTGAATTTAACATATAAATATTATAATTTATAGTTTATAATTACAATAAATTAGAAGAAAATGAAGAGATTTCTGTTTGATGGAATAAAATGAATTAATTACATTAAATATCAAATGAAAATCATAAAATGTCTTCAGGAATTTCAAAAAAGGTACCTAAATCAAAAGGAAATTTTTATGCACGAACAACTTCATATATTGGAACTAATTATTATTTCTTATTATTTAATTCTTTTCTTTGTTTTTCTAATTCTTATATTTCTTTTTCATTTTATTCAATTAGTTTGTATATTTCTTCTTCATAACTTTACACTTGCATAGGTTGATTATATAATAATCTGAATTCTATAGCTCTAATTTATTCATCTAGAATTTAATGATCCTAAATAAATTAAGAAAACTTTTCATGTGCTTTATTGATATAATCTATTTCTTTTTTATTCATTGGTATTATTTTTATTTTAAATATTATTTGATGTAATGGTTAATTATACTATTTATAATAGCAAAATAATTCAAAATGAATAAAAAACCTTTACTTCCAAGACAAACTAAACCAACTTCCTCATCTCCACCTTCAAATTCTGGGAACACTTTACTAGATCGTATAAAGAGTTTAAATTAGAGACAATCAGACTAAGTAAAATAATTAACACATACTTCATCTTTTACAACTGATCGTGTAAAAAATAGAACAAGAGCTAATTATTCTGAATACTTTGATTCAAGGAAATTGCCATTTAATTCAACATTGTAACCTTCTAGATCAAGCTCTTGTAAGAAAAAGAGGCACTTCTATGATGAAAAAGTAGAAAGTGATGGCAAAATATCATAATTAGAAGATTAAAATCATTAAATAAATGATTTCATAGCAAATATTCCATTATGTAAATTAAGTAAAGATGAACAAATAGAAAAATTAGAATTAGAAAAATAGAATTTACATAAATTAACATCAGGTTATTAGAAAAAAGCTGAGGAAAGAAAAACTATAATGAAATAATTATATAGTATTTTGAAGACAAAAGATTAAGAAATAGAATACTTGAGAAAGAATTATGAGAATTAAATTCTAATTTAATAACAAAAATTGGAATAATTTAAACATGAGTGTCATTAATAATTAGATAAGGCTGATGGTCGAATAATAAAGTTAGAAGGAAATCTATAATGTGCATTATAATATAAATAAAAAAGATTAAATGATTTATTGGTTAAAGAAGAAAAAATGAGAGATATATTATCTAAATTAATTAAAAAGTAAGAAAGTAAAGAAAAGATAGATGAAGTAAAGAATATTTTAGCATTTATTGCAAGAGAAAAATCTAGATTTGAAACCCCAAAAAAATAGAATTCATAACATGAGTAAATAGATAATATATAGAATGAACATTAAAAATTAGTATCTTTACATGAAAATGTAATGTTGTAAATAGAAAAACTTAACTATTAAGTATCATAATGTTTATAAACATCTTAATATGGTTAAAAAGATACAATTAAAGAACTTTCATAAAATCTTAAAGAAATGATTAATTAATTTTCTTTATCTAAAAATAATTTAAAGGATAAGGATTAAAAAATTATTTAATTGTAAAATGATTTAATGAAATTTAAAAAGCTTTCTGAAAATAAAAAAGATAATGATACTTAAAAATATATATAAGTGATTAATGAATTAAAATTGGAATAAAGTAATTTAGAAAAAAAATATTAGTAATTAATTATATAAGAAAAATTTGGAGAAGAAAATAATTAAGAATTATAAAATCTTAATGATTAATTAAATGTTTAAATAATCAAATAATAATCTTAAATACAATTATTACATAAATAAATTGATGATTAAAATAAAGTTATGATGACAAATGAAAAAATAATTTAATAATATTAACAAAAAGAAAAATAATTGTATGAAGAATTAGATAATTAAAAAGAATAATAAGAAGAAATAAATTAATTAAAAATTTCATTAATTTCATTAAATAATCAAAAAGATCATCTTTTAGAAAATATTGAATAGTTATAAAATGAAATAATATTAAAAAATGATGTAATCAATTAGGCTGAAAATTAAATTAATTAATAAATTAGATAATTAAATAAAGGATAATAAGACTTAATTAAATATGAAAATTATAATGAAGAATTATAACAGAGAAATAAAGTCTTGTAAGAAAAAATTAAAAAAATAGAAGATAATAATTTATAATAAATATTACAAAATAAATTATAAGATATTAACAATAAACTTGAGTTATTAAAAAATGAAAATGAATCATTAGTATAACAAATTTAAATTTTACAAGATGAAAAAGATAAATTTTTTGATTAACTCATACAATTAATCAAATAAAAATAAAATAATCTTTTATATAAATCTTAATCTCCAAAAAATGCAATATCTAGATAAAGTAGTAAGTTTGGAGATTAATTATTTATATCTGATGGTAATAATAAATAAATATCAAAATTTTAATAAGAATTAGATAAATTTGATGAGATCATATAATCAATAAATTCTAAATTGATTTAAGTTGAATAACAAAAGAATGAATTTAGAAATTTAAATTTAGAATAATAAAAATAAAATTCTTAATTTTTATTATAAATTTCTAATTTAGAATAAGAAAATAAAAAGTATTCTTAAATGCTTTAATAATGGCACTAACAAATGACAGGTAATATTTCTGTAAATTTGGATTAAAATTAAGATATCATCAAACTTGTTAAATAAGAATTAAAGAAATTAAAAAAATTGGAGGATGAATATTCTTAATTAAAGCAAATACATTCAAATTTAAATAAAATTTAGGAAGAATTAAATTTAGAAATAGAAGAAAAAAATTAATTAATAGAACAAAATAAATAATAGTTGGAAATAGAATAATAATAATTATAAAATGTTATTAAAGAAAATTTGGAACTTAAATAATAGAACTAAACCTAAAAATTATAAGAAGTAAATAAGTAATTGGAAATATAAATTGAAAATTTAAAAAATAAAGAAAAGGAATATCAAATAAAATTAGAAAATTTGAAAACTTAGAATGAAAACTAAGATAAAAAAATAATTTAAAATCAAAATCTCATATAATAATTAAATGATAAAGAGAATACCCATAACCAATAAAATTAATAACTTCATAGTTAAGTAAATGATTATCTTAAACAAATTTAAGAGAAATCATAAGAAGTTGAAAAATTTAAGATGGATTTATTATCTTCTGAAAATAGAGTAAAATAATAAGAATTAATAGTTAATGAACTTAAAAATGAAATTATGCTTTAAATAAATGAAAACAATAATCAAAAAGCTCAATAATAATAAATATTAGAATTATAAGAAAATTTATAAACTTAAAAGAATTTAAATTAAGATTAATTAGTTTTAATTCAAAAACTTAAAGATGAATTAAATGAACTAAATCAATAATTAGTTTAAAAAGATTAATTATTAGATTCATAATCTAATGATAACATCTAATAAAACCAACTTCTATAATTATAAATTATATCATAATAAGATTTATTAAAGTAATTAGAATAATAGCTATTAGAAAATGAAATAGTTATAAAAGAATAACTTGATAAGTTTAATGAAACTAATACAGATTTAGAGCAATTAAAATTAAATTAAAAATAGACTGAAATAGAGAAAGACTAATTATCTTAGTAATATGAAGATAGTTAAATATAAATTAATGAATTACTATAAAAAATTGGATTAGGCGAATAACATAATTAAAAATTGAAAGATTAAATAGAATAATAAGAATAGAAATTACAAGATAATCTTACTGAATTATAATTTAAATAAGAAGAAATCAATGAAATGGCTATGAAAGAATAGGCAAGCAAATTTGAATTAGATTGTTTAAAAGCTAAGTGCCTTTCTTATGAATTATAGATAGAAGATTAAGAAAAATTAATATCTCAATAAAATAATTAAACTTAATAATAATCTGAAATTTAAGAGTAACTTTTAGATCTATAAAAAAATAATGAAGAATTGTAACAAAATTTGAATGATAAATAATAAGATTATGATATATTGCAGAATTCTTATTATGATATTCGTGATTAGAAATAAAAATTAGAAGAGGAAATTGAAGACAAAGACTAAGAGATATCAATATTAAATAGGGATCTAAGAATATATAAGGAATAAATTGATCAAAATAAAGCTCTTATTAATTAATTATAAGATTAAATAGTTTAATTTAGAACTAGTGCAAATGTAAATTTTGCTGAAAACTGTAAATTAAATGAACAAATTTAAATGATGAAAAAAGAATTAGAGAATTATTAAATTGATTCAAAATAAAATTTGGATGAAAGAAGTGATAAAATAAAAGATTTAGAATAATAAATAATAGATTTACAAAATGAATTAGAGAATTAATAATTTTAAATTTAATATAAAGATTCTAAAATAGAAGAATTAAACAACCGTCTATAAGAAACATTAGAGAATCTAGATGATGTAAAATAAGAATTGGAAATAACTTCTCGATAATTAAAAAGTGAATAAGTATAAAAAGAAGAAGAACTTAAATGTAAGTAATAATTAGAAAGTATAATATAATAATCGAAATTAGAAGTATAATAATATATCTAAACAATAAATTAATAATAAGAAAATTTACTATCTTTACATAATAAAATAATTGAATATTGTAATGAAATAGAAAATTTGAAAAATTAAAATTCTACATTGCAAATTTAATTTGAAAAATAATAAAAAGAGATTGAAGTTTTGAATGAAAATTTAAATTAATAAAATGTATTATTTGAAGATTAAAAATAAAATTAAGAAAATTCAGAGTTTTAAATAAATTATTATTAAACCCAATATAATGAGATAAAATTTGACTATGATTAATTGAATGAGAAATTTTAGGATTTAGAATAAGAAAATGAAATATTAAATAGAAATTAATCAAATAACTTATAAAAATTAGACTAAATATAAAATGAAAAATATATACTCTAATAAGAAATAGCATAACTAAAGCAATCCTTAGCTACTTTATTTGAAGAAAGATAAAACAATTAAGATCGAATATAAGAGTTGATTTTTAAGATTGAGCTTTAAAAATCTGAGGATGCAAAAAAAGAATAAAACAGAGAGATGATTGCTAATTAATAAAATGATTTACAGCAACATTTAATTGAACTATAAGAATAAAATAAAAACTATTAATAAAATATTGAATAAATCTAAATTTAATTGCAAGATGAAAAGCTTATTACAGAAAATTTAAAATAATAGAATGAAAAAGATTAAGAATTAATTGATAAACTTAAAAATATTGAAATAGTCTAACTAAACCAATAGATAGATAATTTATAAGAAATAGTTAAATTATTTGAATAAAAGGAAATGTAAAATTAGGAATTAAGTAATTAAATGTCAATTTTAAAATAAGAGTAATAAATTTAAGAGCAATAAGTAAAATTAATTAAAGAAGAAAATGAAAAACTTAAAGAAGAAATAAATGATTTAAAAAAGAACTAAATTAATTTATTAGAGAGCGAGAAAAATACATATGAATAAAAGTATCATTAGTTTTAAGAAGAAATTAAAGCTAATGAAACTAATTATTAATAATTGAAATTATAGGAAAAATAATTAATTTAATTGAATGAAGCAAAGGATGAATAAATATCAAATTTAACTGTCTTAAAAGCTGATTTTGAATAAAAATTAGATTAATTAAATAATGAAATAAAACTTAATTAAGAAGAAAAGTAGATTTAATAGAATAAATTATAATAATTGAATGAATAATACTTAAAACTTGAAAATCAACGAGAATCTTAATCTATTGAACTTGAATAGCTTAAAGGATAAAATAAAGACTTATAATAATAGATTGAAAATAATACATGTTAATTTAATGAAAAAATTGATTAACTAACAAATTAAATAAATGTATTATAATAAAAAAATGAATAATAGTAGAATGAGATAAAAGAATTGATTTTATAAAATGAGGAATTGTAAGATTAATAATTATCATTTATGGAATAATTACAAACTGAAAAATAAGCTCACAATACTTAATTATCTGAAAATCATTAATTATAAGAAAAATTATAGAATGAATTAGAAAATGCTTAATAACTAAAAGGTTAAGTATAAAAATTAGAAAAAGAATTATATTAACTATAATAAGCAATGATAGATAAGGATGAAAGTTTAGTTAGATGGAGAGAATAATGTTGTAGTTAATATATGTAAAATGAATAAATAGGGTAATCATAAAATACTTAAAAAGACAATAATAACGAATCTTAAAAAATCAATAATAGATTAATGTAAGAATCTTTATCAAATCCTTTAGAGGATTAAGATAATGATTATAGAATCGAAATGAAGGAACATGAAAATTCTAAAATTTTTGATTTAGAATTTGATGATAAAAGTGCTAATTAATAATAAAATATATTGCCTGCTGTTAGTGAAAATGTAAGTGAGGCATATGATTTAGCAATAAAAAAAAGTATGGGACTTTCAAAAGATTAAATTATATAATAATTATAAGATTAAAATAGACTATTTTAATAATAAATTGAAAATTTAACAAAAGAAAATATAATTTATGAATCTCCTTGTAAAGATAAGGTTATAATAGAAGATTTATAATAATAAATTTAATAGTTAAAAAATTAATAATTATAAAGAATTATTTTATCTCCTTTAGAAGTATTAATTGGAGAACATTTAGATGAGAAAGATGAATTAAATGAAGAAGAAAAGAATTATTTATTGTAAGAAAAATGTAAAGGTTTAGAACTTGAAATTTAAATGATTTAATTTGATAATAAGGAAACACAAAAAATAAATGAATCTTTAAAAAAGGAAAATGATAGTTTATTATTATAAGTAAATATCTTAAATAAGACTGTTAAGGTTTGGTAAGAAACAACAACAAATATACATTAATAATATGATTAAAAATAATTAATAACATTTAGTGTATTATAAAAAGCTCTTAATTAAGAATAATAATGGGGATAATAAATAAATTAAATTGGACTTAATTCAGAATGTGAATCAATATTTAGATAAGTTTGTTAAACAGTTTATGGTGTACCTTCTCTTTAAAAATAACTTGAAGATATTAAAAAATAATTAGATAAAGAGAAATAGGAAATAAATTCATTAATTAATGAGAAAGTTGTTTTGAGTCAATAAATAATTGATATAACAAGTTAACATGAAAATTCATCTAGACGTAATAAAATGAGTGAACCAAATAGTGCATTAAAGATCAATTAATCTATTGATGATGATGAATTCTCGTTAAATATTAAATAGATTATTCTCAAATATAAAAAAGAATAAGAAATTATGAAGATTGAAAATCATTAATTGACTTTATAATTAAAATAACATGAATAAAATGAAGAAATATATATGGTATTTAATAATAATAATATTATTTAGAAATAAAACAAATTGATGAAAGATGAGAATCGAACATTAAGTGAGAAATTAAATTAAATGTAAGATGAATTATAAAAAATGGCAGAAAAAGTTTCTAATTCAGAAAATGGGGCTTTGGCTGAACATTTAAAGAAAAATATATAAAAGTTCTTTGAAGCATTACAATAAGAGTAATATATATTAATTAAAGTAGAAAAAAATAAGAATTTCAATCTTATTCATCACATCTGTTAAAATTAAGTGGAGTTTAATTTGAATAGTAAATATGTGAAAGCTTAATTAACAAATTAAGTTCTGTAATTGATAAAAAGAAATCAAGTGGTGTATTTGGTGGTATATTCAAATGATTTTAATTAATATATATGGTCAAAATGTTTTGATGCTGTTTTTCAATGATGTAAATAAATATTAATAAATACTTTTTTTTTCATAAATGAATAATAATGAAGATAAGAAATAAATAGAAAGACTAGGAACAGCAAGTACAATGTGTTAAACCTTTTAATAATCTCAATTTTAACAACAATATTAAAAACGTGTTGATTTCACTCAAGTAAATCTTTTCCCCAAAAATATCAAAAATGATTTGAATCACAAGTAAAATACTCGATACTCTCGACAAGAATATGGGAATGAATCTGAAGATCAAAAATAAGAATTACTATAAACTTAACACAAACAATAATAATACATTATTCAACAACAGAATTCGTAATCAAAACAAAAAAAAATATAAATAAAGCAATAAAATGAATCATAAAACCTTATTGAAGATAGGTAAGAAGAATTTAATAGTGTGTATGATGATGAAAATTTAGAATCCCCTATTCCAATATAAAAAAAGGGCAAAGGAGAACATCTTTATGTCAATTGGTACAATATATTTGAATTTTAGTTAGATGTAGGCTTTAAGTGAAATTTTAGTTAAATATCATATATAAGAGATAAATCAGCCATATTTAAAAAAAAAAACATCAGCAAAATGTTGTTGTTTCACAATTACAACCAAATAATCACTTTATTAAGGTTAAAAACAAATTATTATAACAGAAGGAAGAAAAAATTATGATGAGAATGATATTAATCATTGTAATCTTCTATATTCAATTCTCTATTAAATGTATCAATTAGAGAAATTATCTAAGAAAAAGTCAAAGGAAATTGAAGCTAAATAAACAACAGTCTTTTAGTTAATTTACACATTATCTTGTATAACATTATTTAAGGATGATTTATTATAATTTACAAAAAATGATAAGGATAAAGTTATAGGAAACCTCTTTATTATATCAAAATATATATTTGAGATCCTTTTAAATGGAATTTTAGATCCAATTTTTAAATAATCAGATAGTAATGGTGAAACACTTCATAATACTTTGACTGCAATTCATATGGGTATGTTTCTTATGGTTTGTTTGGATAATTTAAATTAAGAATAAGAAATAGTATAAAATTTGCAAAATAAAAATATAAAATCACTCATAGATCTTTGGAAATAAAAAAAATATTAAAATAACTGAAACTTATCAATTTTGATTTTATAAGACTTTATTAATTAATAGTTTGTTAATTTCTATTACAATAATCAACAGATTGTTTGATATTAAATTCTTATTTTCATATCAAAAATACTCTGTAATTGATATATATATATATATCTTTGTAATTGATATTATATTGTAATAAAATTAATACATTAAATAAGAATTTTAAGTATTTTTTATTGGTTTGAATGGGTGAGGTCATTTTATAAGTATTTTTTAATTGAGACTGATTCTATATAATGTATAATATATGAAAAATGCATTCTTTTTTCAAATTTTAATTATTATTATTATTATTATTATTATTTATATATTAATTATTTATATATATATACTCTATTATATAATTATATTTATAATATTCTAACTAGATAGATTTCCAATTGTAAATTAAAATGTATATTTTTAACAATCTTTAATTGTTTTATTGTTACAATCAAAAATATGTTGTATAGATGTTGGAGAGTTGATGGAAAGTGAATTTTGATGTGTTTTTTTTTGATAATTACTTATATTTATTTAAAATGAGCTATGATGAAGACTACATCTTTGATCCTTATAATGATAATTAGCCTTGCTTTATTTAGGAAGATTAGTTTATTGATAACCTTTTAGATTAAAACAATTAATTATAGTTTGAATGTGATTAACTAAGAGATATGAAGTAAAATAATAGAAATACTTTTAGTTTTCATGAAGAAATAAATGAAATTTCTAATAATTTAGATGCAAATTAGAGATTGTCATCTACAAATAATTTTGCAATAGAAAATGATTCATTTTTGATACAGAAACATTAGATTTTTAATGATCAATAAAAAGTAGAAGATTGCACATTTGAATCTAGGAGTAGAAGTAGAGAGATTGAAAAAAATGTAAACAATTAGTTAGAATAGAATTTAGACTGGGAAAATTAAAAAATGGACTCAAGAAGAAAATGATTTACTAGCAAATTTGTATTATTAATTTAATGGAGATTGGCAGAGGATTGTTGAAAGAATGTAAGGAAGAACCTTAACATAATGCAAATAGTATTGGTAAAGAAAGCATAAACCTGAATAACCTTAAAAAAGTAAATGGACACCTGAAGAAGATTAAATAATTAGAGATAATGTTAATAAAGAAGAAAATAATTGGGCTGCAATAGCTACAAGTATATAAAATATAATATATGAAAGTGTTAAAAAATAAAACAGGGAAATAAATAAGGGAGAGATATATAAATAAATTAAGGTCGGATATTATTGATGTTAAGTAATAGCCATGGTCTAATTAAGAAGATCAAAAATTATTGTAGTTATATAATTAATTTGGATCTAAATGGTCTTTGATAGCTCGACAATTTTTTGGAAGATCTGTAAATACTATTATTAAAAACTAGGATTTGTAGATCAAAAATAGAACTAATAAATTATTAAAAACTTAAAGTGGCACATAATTATAACAAGAATAGCCAAAATTACAGGTATAAAATCTAAATCTAGAGAGTTATCTAGAATTAGATAAAACTTGTGAAAAATCTCAAAATAAACCTAAGTTTGAATTTCCATAATATAATTCTTATACAGTCTCTTCTCAATTAATTCAATGAAATGACTTTTATTTATTTATTAAACTCTTGTAAGCTCAAATATGTTGTGATTTATTAAATTCATAAGATTAATTAATAAGTATTACAATTTGTTTTCATTTTCATTAAATTTAATAATATAATAAAAACTATGGCATATTACGGAGTTGGATTACCTACAACTATTTAAGAATTGGTTTTTAGATTTAGAAATCATGTTTGCAAAGCTAATCCTTATTGTACATTATCAAGATTAAAGTATTAAAAAACTCATTGAATATTAGATCAATATTTTAATAATATGACAAAAATGGTAACGGAAAACTAAATCTAGAAGAATTAGATAATCTATTAAAGAGTGTTGGAATGTTCTTAAAAATTGTTGAATTGCAAGCACTAATTAAATATTTTGATAAAGACGGAGATGGATTTTTGAGTTTTCGAGAATTTTTAACTTTTGTTAGAGAAGAAATGAATGAAAGAAGAAAAAATATGGTACTTAAAGTATATGAGAGTTAATAGAACATCAAAATTACATCAAATTATTTAAGTAACATTATAAACTAATAAACTAGGATAAATTTATAAGATTGATAATTTAACAGATGGAATGAAAACATTTATTGATAATATTTGTGTAGGTGATGAATTATCTTATGAATAATTTTTGGAATTTCATGAAGAACTATCATTAAATATAGCATCTGATGAAACATTTACATCTATTTTATCTAAAGCTTGGAATATAGATGAAAAGTAAGAAGACACTGCATTTTAAGAATATTTATAGAATAGTTTATAATAAATTAAAGAACGAGTTATAACAAGAGCAGGTGGTAAACCATTTGTTGTAAATGTTTTTAAAGAGTTTGATACTAATAAATCTTAAGATTTATCAATTAGTGAATTCATCTTTTTACTCAAAAAAGTAAATTAAATAATTATATTATTTAGCTTGAATTAGATTGGAATAAGGCAGTAATCAATAGAGTTTATAGAATTATGGATTAAAATAATAGTGGATCAATAGAAGAGTAAGAATTCATTAATTTTTTTAAAAATTGATAAAATATAATTATCAAAAATATTATAGAATTCATATACATAATATATAGATATAATAGCTTATTAATATTCAAATTAAAATCATTTTATTGATAAGTATCTATTCATTTTTTTGAGTGTTTTAATATCTATATTTCATATTTTTGAAATTTAATTGATTATTGAAGTTTTTTATTAAAATCAAATTATTATTTATATAATGTCAAGTTTTAATAAACAATACTAATTTATCTTTAAGATTATTATATAATTTTACTAATAAAACAAGAATTCTATTACAATATTCTCTATAAATGGATTTTAGATCAAAATTTTGAATTATATTTGATAGAAACTTTGCCAACATCTATTTTTATAACTACAATTTTCTCATTAAGATTATGATTAGAATGTTTTGAACATATAATTAAACATAGAATATTAAATTTATATTATTGAATATATTTTAATTTATAAGATTAATTAATAATTCAAAAAAAAGAATGTTTGCATAGAGTGGCAAAAGTAAAAACTAAATTAATAAAATATTATAGTATCAGAGGATAAATGTAAGATTCACAATAATGCATATGATTGTGTAAGCTTAAATTATACAGACAGGAGTTAAACATTTAAAGCATGTTCTCAATGCAAATAATAAAGAACAAAGGAATAATTTATTTCTTTTAAAGATATATAAAATAAACTCTAAACTTAAATATCAAATGATTTAGTTGGAGAATTCAAATTAAAATTGACACCATTATTTGATGAGACAGAATAATTAAGAACAAAATTATTATAATTAGCAGATGATATTTATAAGATATTGCTTAATAGCATTCATAATTTATTTGTTAATTGTTTATTTAAGTAGTTGCCCAATAATTTATTTACTACATAGGACATATTCGATGTAATCATTTTTGATTATCTAACTATAGTTAATGACTCCAAAAACTATTGATGATTTCACTTCAATAATTGATTAATAGATTTCATTTTAGAAAGGAGAGGATTCAAGTGCTAGTTTATTGACTAAAGTGCTATTTAATGATTAAGAAGCTAGATAATTTTTAGATGCATTAACAGATACATAAGGGGTAAAATAGAAATTAGAAAAAGTTCATAATGAGTTTGTTTAACATAAGAATGATATTTCTAAGAAAATTGATTAAATAAGTAA